TTCATGGTAAGTCTAATGTATTCAACTCCATCACCCCCACCCCCGAGTTTTCTTGCGATTTGTAACAGAGTTTTTGCGGTCAAAGGGGAGTAATTGAGACTTTGTGTTGTCCGTAGTCCCTAGTAAGGAAGCGAAAGAGAATGTGTAGGCGTATGTCACGTGACGTTCATGTGACACATTGACCTACATATCATAAAATAAAAACAATCACTGAGATTCTGAGATAAAATTGCATTTTTGATTCGTGTGTCAATCTGTTTAAATGTCATAATTCAACTATCATGTGGATTATGGCAAAGGTAAATATCCCATTTAAAATCTTGTCTTTGCTTACTGATTGAAATAAGGAAATTCTATGAAAACAAAAAACGAATGACGTTGTGAAAGTAGCGCTTCAATTTATTGCATTATAATATAGCTTCTGTTGTTTTCTTAAATTTTGTTGGTAGAGTATCGAAAATAGATCTTTGCCTGATATTGAAGTCTAATATTACCCAATCTTGGGTTGATTGTCAAGGAACCCCTAAATCCACAGGTTATAAGAAAGTAATTATGATAAAGTTACAGCTTGGGATGAAACAAATAATTAGGTCAACAAGCAAAGTAAAAAGGTTTTTTTTATAAGAATTTTCCAAATTTGCTTTTCTTTTCAATGTAAACTTACAAAAGAGCATATTTTTATCAACGCAAAGATATTTTAAAACTATCAGTATTATTTTGAGGCTGATTAATTTGCTTAGACAATACCTAAGTTTGACCCCAGGACCCTTGTCCAAAAAAGAATTTTTGCCTTAAAAAAAAATTATGTTTCACTATTTTGGTTTAGTTTCTAATTGCAATGGAATAGGTAAGATGGCTTGCAACTTGAAATATATATAGAGGCCTAACAAGTCATAAAAGGTAGAAAACAAACAACAAGATTATTTTACGCTAGGAAGATTCTTACCAAAATATGATTAACACATGTTATTCATTTATTTCTAATGCAATTGAAAATTTTATTTTGTATATATTTTAAATTACTGGTTAAATTCAATTTCCAGCTCATTGTTAGCAAAAGTAGTAATATTTGATGTACCGGTATATCTTTCATGTTTGAAATAGTAACGACATGTTGCTTTCGATATTTTTCCAGAATTTGAGGGACTGAAACATTTGAAATCAAACACATCAGCTAATGTGCAAACTCAGAACGTCAGAGATCTTATTCAACGCGTTATTGGATCTCGGGCTAATGAGTTCAACTTAACAGTAGATCTTACTCTAGGACCAGCTGAAAGAGACACTTACAAAGTAATTACATATTTCGATTCAATTTAGCATTGTCTCAGAACAACTTTCACACCGGTAATAGCCATGTGAAGGCCTAATGGTGATGTCATTTCCACTTTTTTAGGGTGGCTGCGGAATTCGTTTCTTGACCTGCATCCAGATCTTGCAGATCATAGTGCAAACCAGGGTCCATTTAGAATGGGACCTTTAATATTCTGTTCAAATGGTCATGGGCTGTTGTAGTTTTTGTGGAATATTACTCTAATTCTTTGTAGATTGTAACACAAAATGGAAAAGTGCAAATTAATGGTACCAGTGGAGTTGGAGTGGCTATGGGATTCTATTACTATATTAAATATTACTGTGGTGGTCAGTTTACATGGGCTGGTCAACAAATTAATTTACCAACACCATTACCAGTAGTACCATCACCAGGTATCACTAAAACTTCAAATGATAGGTAAGGTTTCTTAAAATTTAACGATTTTCCAGTAAGTGTATGGCAGATCTGGATATATAACTTATTTCATAATATTATAAATTTTTAGGTTTTGGCAGTACCAATATGTATGTGTTATATTATAAATTTTTAGGTTTTAGTATTACCAAAATGTATGTGTTATATTATAAATTTTTAGGTTTTAGTATTACCAAAATGTATGTGTTATATTATAAATTTTTAGGTTTTAGTATTACCAAAATGTATGTGTTATATTATAAATTTTTAGGTTTCGGTACTATCAGAATGTATGTACAGTGAGTTATAGTTTAGTTTGGTTAAACTGGACGAGATGGGAGAGACATATAGATTGGATGGCTTTACAGGGTATAAACCTACCATTAGCTTTTACAGGCCAGGAGGCCATCTTTCAAAGGGTTAGTTTATTAAATTTATAGTTTGTGAAAGGAATACCACCTCTCAAACTTCGCAAAATCAATGTAATCAGTTTCAAGACTTCTTTACAACATTTTTTGCTTTTAAAATTTCATTGTAATTTTAGCTTCAGACATCCAGTATTCCATCTTCATTTTTTTAAGGTATACATGACTTAGGATTACTTTGCTGATTTA